TCTTTCTTCTTTCTTCTTCTTCTTCTTATTCTTTCTTCTTTTCTTCTTCTTATTTTCTCTTCTTCTTCTTCTTCTTCTTCTTCTTCTTCTTCCTTATTCTCTTCTTATTCTTCTTCTTTCTTCTTCTTCTTCTTCTTCTTTCTTCTTCTTTCTTCTTCTTCTTTCTTCTATCTTCTTGTTCTTTCTTCTTCTTCTTTCTTCTTCTTCTTCTTCTTCTTCCTTCTTCTTCTTTCTCTTCTTCTTCTTCTTCTTATTCTCTGCTTGCTTCTTCTTTCTTCTTCTTCTTCTTCTTTTATTCTTCTTCTTTCTTCTTTCTTTTCTTCTTCTTCTATCTTCTTCTTCTTCTTCTCTCTTTCTTTCTTCTTCTTCTTCTTCTCTTTTCTTCTTCTTCTTCTTCTTCTTCTTTTTCTTCTTCTTCTTTCTCTTTCTTCTTCTTTCTGCTTCTTCTTCTTCTCTTCTTCTCTCTCTTCTTCTTCTTCTTCTTCTTCTTCTTCTTTCTTCTTCTTCTTCTTCTTCTTCTTCTTCTTCTTCTTCTTCTTCTTCTTCTTCTTCTTCTTCTTCTTCTTCTTCTTCTTCTTCTTCTTCTTCTTCTTCTTCTTCTTCTTCTTCTTAGCAGCACCCGTGCTGGATCCGGGGTCGCCGTCGTTCTTCTGCTTCTTGTTGCTTGTGCGGCGACGAACGGTGGCCTTAACAGGGGCTTTAGCGACCTTGGTTTTCCTCTTGTCTGCAGCAGTGAGGCGCGGTTGATGCTCCTCCCCCGAACTGTTGTCATCAGAGAGCACACGCGGGCACGCTTCTGCTTGGATTGTAGGTGATGACGGAGCCTCCGCTTCAGAAGCGGAACATCGTCGCCCGCCGTGATGCTCCACAGGTCGTCCTCGGAGTGTTCACCCTCAAAGAAGATCACATCGACACCTCCCTTCGCAGCATCCGTGTCCGCCTCCGTCTCAGCATCCGCATTCACATCCGCATGTGCGACCACATCCGCAGCCGCAACTGCATCTGCTTCCGCTACCGCCTCCACTTCCGTCCTCGCTTCCGCTTCCGCTTCGTCGTCTGCCTCCGCATCCGCATCCACCGTCGCATGCGCTGCTGCTTCAGCGTGCTCACGATCCGCATCGGCACCTCCGTCGTTGTCCAAATCACCAGCCCGCCACTCCTCCACTTCGTCGTCGGAGCCAACGGGACGATTCCACCATTCGTCGTCGTCGATGTCGGCAGGTGCTATTTCATCCCCCTAAGCGCTGTCGTCGTGGCCGTTCTCCGGCCAATCCTCCTCGCCGTCGTCGCCGTGTTCTTCGTCGCCGTCGTCCCCATCACAGCTCGCACCTTAGGCGGCGGTAGATCTTCCGGCCTTGCGCGTATCCTTAGCCATGGCTACACAGATGCCATCACCGGGCGAGTTAATTCGACCGTAGTTATTCACATGCATGTGAGGGCGAGGTGAGGACGTGCCTACAGGGACTTTGCTGTGCATGGTTAAGCCTGCCGAGAGCAAAGGTTGAGAACTCAACCTTCTTGAGCACCAAATGAAGCCCAAGCCCAACTACCCCCCCAAGCCAGAGTGCCCCTTCCAAAGGTGCCGAGCCGCTCCTCTACAAGGAATCTCCTCGTAGAGGACAGCCCTCACGCTGCAATCGTGCTGCCAGCAGCGTTCTGGAAGCATCCATGCGCTGCTGGCAGCAAAACGACGTTGGCAGCATCATTAGATGCTGCCAGCACAGAGGGATGTTGCCAGTAGTGGCAGCTTTGCTGCATACCTCACATGCCATGTGGGGGCGCTGCATGCATCACCACCGAGGTCGTCCTGTTTCAATGGATCTGGCCCCTGGGTGGTTTCTACACACTTTGCAAATGTTACAGAGTACTTATATTTTTTCTCCATTTATAAGACTTGTCAGACACCCTAAACTGTCCCAAATACAAGATAACCCAAGCATTTTGAGTAGTGTACGAGATAAGACATATATGTCTTATATCCGGGCGATGACGGTACTTGTATGTACTGATCCGGGATACCGTATCAGTGAAGGGCCCCAAACCAGCCCTGAACGAATCGGGGTTGAGATCCCAAATTTCTAAAATCAGCCCGTACAGAAAACGGGCTCCCCTCGACACCAACCCTTTCATTGCCAGAGCTGGTTAACAGTTTGCCCAGAATGTTCAAGGCACTAAGGGCAAATGCCCTTGAACCGACAGGTGGTCTCCACCCCACACATCACCACCCCACTCCTCACTCCTCAAACCTCACGGGCACACCGCTGTGATTGGCACTGCGCTTGGAGGGATTCCGCAGCACCTCATACGCCTCTGCACCCATCACCACCCAACACATCATACTCCACACCTCACACTCCTCACCTCACATCACACCGCTGTCATACGCGCTGCGCTTGCTAGGATCCCCCAGCACCTCATACGCCTCTGCAATCCTCTTGAACCGCTCCTCTGCCGCCCGCCTCTTCCCCTCGTCAGGCTGCCTGTCAGGGTGAGTCTCCATCGCCAGCTGGCGGAACGCAGATTTGATCTCCTGCTGACTCGCCTGCCGCCCTTTGCCGGCCAGCCCCAGAGCAGCGTAGTAGCCTTTTGGGTCTGAACTTGTCCGCCCTGTCCTTGTCTGTCTTGACCCCTGCTGCTGCCGTTGCTGCTGCTGATGCTGCTACCGCCCGTACTGCTGTTGCCACTGCTGCTTTCATTGCTGCTGCCACTGCTGCTGCCTCCTATCCTGCTGCTGTTGCTGCTGCTGTTGCTGGGTGCGCTGGTATCTGCTGCTACCGAAGCTGCCACCAGGCCAGAACGAGGCTCCTCCCCGAGCCATGCGCTCAAACTCCCTCCACATGTCCTCCGGACTCACAAAGGCTCGGCGGAAGACCCGGAAGTTGCCAAACCTGCAGCGCAGGTTCGGGAAGAGGGTGGGACATGATGGGGGAGAGTAAGGGGTGGGGTGGAAAAGGAAGTGGTTCTGGGATTAGGTTTGGGTGTGGAAAGGGCTAATTAACAAGCTGCCAACACAAGCTGCCGAACATTCTAACAATCTCGCTTCTTGGTAGAGCTCACTAAGGCAGACGATTACACGCACAGTGTGCCTAAAATGGAAACCCTGTCAGATCAGGGAAAACCTATTCTAAAATATGCTTTGTGCATCAGAAGATGGACTTGACACATCACATGCATGTGATGTGGGGGGGACACATCACATGCATCGAGAAAAGTGGGGAGAAGTGACGACTTGAGAATAGATGACTTGAGAATAGAGGCAGGCGGCAACTTGGGCTTAGATGTCAGCTTGGCGCAGAGAATGGGGAGGACTTACAGGACTCGTTGCCCCCTGTGAGAGAAAAGGAGCAAGACTTGGGGCAATTAGTCAATCCCAATTCCAGGTGCGACTGGATCGAGGGACGACTGGATCGAGGGACGACTGGATCGAGGGATGACTGGATCGAGGGATGACTGGATCCGGCATGAGGTGGGTTGCAGAAATGGGTGCTCTTGGTGTTGGCAATGGTGATGCAACTCATGCTTCCCAACCCATCCTACTATCGCTCGCTGTCATTGTTGCACCATGATCACAACAGCAAGAGCAAAAACACATGCTTCAGAGCGTGGCAGTGATTGTGCTACTCTAACCCCCTCATCGCTAGCAGTGCGTGAAATACCCCAGTCATGTAACTTGGAACTTGGAGCACCCATAATGCATACCCGGCTGAACTGCCACAGCCATCCCGCATTCCCTCCAACCCACTCCTTAAAGCCCTCCCAAATCCAGCCAATCCAACCCAACCCTTCCGGCCCAACCAGATATGCAGCCAAACCAGCCCTGTGGGCCGCCTTCCAAAGTGTTAATCACACGCACACTCGTGATGTTCTCCTTGCTTGGCCCGGGTCAGGCCACCCTGGCCCCAGTACAAAACGGGCGGGCTCGGGCCAGAGTCTTGGTCATTCGGCCCGGGTCGGGCCGGGCCTGGCCTGGCCCGGATTTTTGCCTGGCCCGGCCCGGCCCGGCCCGTGCTCAACCCTACCGACACCTGCTCCGCTTCATAGCGCTGGTAGAGGTGTGTGGGCAGGGGGAATTGGGCAGGGGGAATTGGGCAGGGAGAATTGGGCAGGGAGAATTGGGCAGGGAGAATTGGGCAGGGGGAATTGGGCAGGGGGAATTGGGCAGGGGGAATTGGGCACGGGGAATTGGGCAGGAGGAATTGGGCAGGAGGAATTGGGCAGGGGGAATTGGGCAGGGGGAATTGGGCAGGGGGAATTGGGCAGGGGGAATTGGGCAGGAGGAATAGGGCAGGAGGAATTGGGCAGGGGGAATTGGGCAGGGGGAATTGGGCAGGGGGAATTGGGCAGGGGGAATTGAGCAGGAGGAATTGGGCTGGGGGAATTGGGCAGGGCAGGGCAAGCAGGGCAAGGAAAGCATGGCAGGGCAGAGGAGGGCAGGGCAAGCACAACGCAGAAGATCACAGGGCATACCCATTTGAGGTGGGTGGTGAGCTGTGTCTCGAGGTGCTTGATCCACCGCTGCTTCACCACTTCCCATGCCCGCTCCCTGTGTAGCAGACGTAGATACATCAACCCATGCACACATCATCATCCATGCGCACATCATCATCCATGCGCACATCATCATCCATGCACACATCATACACCATGGACACGTCGGCATACACCATGGACATGTCGGCATACACCATGGACACGTCAGCATACACCATGTCATGTCAGCATACACCATGGACACGTCATAAGTGGGCAGCAAAACACTGCATGTCATGTGTGCGTGCCTGCATGGTGCAATCCAAGAGGCTTAAATGGCGCCAGGCATGCCTTGAAATCCATGGCATGTAGGCTAAGCACGTGGCATGTCAGCTAAGCACGTGGCATGTCAGCTAAGTACGTGGCATGTCAGCTAAGTACGTGGCATGTCAGCTAAGAACGTGGCATGTCAGCTAAGTAGGTGGCGTGTCAACTAGGCACATGGAAATCCAGCTAAGCATATGGCACGCACACGCCACCCTTCTGTGGTCTGCCCACCTGGAGACGGTGAAGAGCTCCAGCTGTCTGCCAGGTGTCAGCATGCGATTGGAGAAAAACTATCAGGAAGAGAATCAGGGTTTGGGCTGCCTCACAATGTGGTGGGGATTTTGGGGGAGAAGGGCGAAGGAGGAGGAGGAAAGGCCGAGGGAGGAGGCGGAAAGCAGGAGGCTGTGAGAAAGATGTGCTAAAGAGAGATAAATAAAGGAGGAGATGGGGGAGGAGGGGAGCACGGAGGAGAAGAGGGCGGGTAGAGTTGAGGGCAGGAGAGGCATGAAGGAAAAAGAGGGCGGGTGGAACAAGGGAGGAGGCACCAAAGCCAAGAGCAACGAGAGGAGAGCATGGCAAAGCGGTGTGATGTGTCTTGCAGGTGGTAGTCGAAGGAGAGAAGGAGAGAGAAGGCGGAGGGAAGAGAGGGTGGAAGGGAAGAGCGTGTGGAAGGGAGACAGGGTTAGGGAGAGAGGGCGGAGGGCAGAGAGGGTGGGGGGGAGAGAGGGTGGAAGGGGGAGAGGGTGGATGGAAGAGAGGGTGGAAGATGAATGGAGTGGACACGAGCAGAGCAGGAGAGTGCGGGTGAAGCGTTTGGTGCGATCAGACCTTCCCTCCCCTTCCCTTCTCCCTATTTCCTCCTCTTCCCACTCTATTGTCTCCCATCCCACTGCTCCTCATGCTCCCGACCCTCTTGCCAATCCCTTCCTGCCACGCAGTCATCCTCCTCTCTATCTTCTGTTTTAGCCGCCTCACTCTTGACTCAACTGCTCCCACCGCCGGCTGTAAGGGTTCCAAGACATGGCAGATGACGCCTTCCCCACATTCGCCCTGTATGCCACTTCCACTGCCATCAGCATACTCATGCCCATGCCCATGCACATGCCCATGCCCATGGCCATGCCCATGCCTTTCCCCATGCCAATTCGCATGCCCATGATCATGAGGGCACAGGAAATTTGGGGTACAAGATACGGTGAAGGATAACAAGGTGAATCACTCAGAGGGTTTGGGATCATGACAATGAAGCTACCCCACACATGCCCATGCTCACGAGGGCACAGGGGATTAGGGGTACATGATATGGCGGTGGTCAACGAGGGGAGTGAATCAGGGAAGTGTGGGAGGGTTCAATTCTCTGTCATGCCAGATAACGCCTTCCCCACATCCGCCCTGTGCGATGCTTCCCCTGATGTGGGTGCACACTAGGACCGTGGGCGGAGGGGAACGTGACAAGGAGGGGAGATGGGTGCTGTGCTGTGGCATGGCATGGCAGATGACGCCTCCCTTGCATCCACCTCAAATGGGCATTCGTGTATGTGCATGGAGGAAGTGAGGAGGGGAGGAGGGAAGAGCAGGCAGTTAGGAGGGGAAAAAATGGAGGACAGAATGCAAAGGAGCACTAAAGAATTGCCAGTAATAGTATTTCACAGGTACAGACACATGCGCTACGCACACGTGCGCGCACACACGCATACATGCACACAAGCACGCGCGCACGCATGCACGCACGCGCGCGGTCACACGCACGCACACACACACACAGATACACACACGTACACACACACACACACACACACACACACACACACATACACACACACACACACATACACACACACACATATACACACACACACACACACATACATACACACACATACACATACACACACACACACACACACACACATACACACACACACACACACACACACACACACACACACACACACACACACACACACATTCGCGCGCATGCAAATACACGCACACGGCCATACCCCTCCTCCCCCGCCCCGCCCTGTGAGAGGACGTCCCCGTTATAATATTTTCCCATTATGATATTTTTCCTTTATCTTATTCTCCTTTTTCTCCTCTTATTTTGGTATTTATTTCATCTCAATCAGCCTACTATTCTATTTTCTAGAGCCTTCTATTTATTTCTCTTATTTCCTACTTTTCCCACCGACATATCTATTATACGGCACCGACAGCGCCGACACTGGTTTATACGGTCTAATCTGGGTGTAATCCCAAGTTCCAATAGCCTTGCGTGCTTGTGCGCACTTGTGATTGTAGTATCGGGAAGGGTGTGTTCCTGAATGTTCGTTTTATCTATTTTATCCTTGTAATTCCGGATATAAAAGCGCTTTGTATTCAATTTTAGTGACAAGTTTCGATTGAGAATTCGATTCTGTGACACGCCCCCCCCCAACACGCGGCCATATCCATCCCCTCGTCTGCCCACACCACACCCCCTTCCGCTCCCCTTCCCCAACCCACCTACCCACCGTCAGCAGCGAAGGTCCAGAACGGTTGGAAGACGGCACTGAGGGCCGTAGACGAGTCCACGCCAGCAATGGCGGGCGCCAGCAGGTGCCCCGTCAACAGAGCCCAGGCCTCCTCAGGGGTAACCTGAAACGGCACCGCCATGGGCGTGCGCGGCCGCCCTCCCCCCGCCTGCTGCTTTCCGCTGTACCG